TTTACTTTTTCTTTATGGATATTTTACAAATCACCCTTTCAAACTGTATTCTTTTTTTACTGTCATATAGTATTTCATACGTGTTTTTCGTTTATTCTCTTATTTTTGTATAACTATAATGATCATATAAACGTGTGCCTCTGAAATAATTGTTTACATTAATGGTGACCAGAACGTTTGAGACCCACTGAGATAACACTGAGAGAGTCCTTTAGCTCACTGAGTTTCTCAGTCTGACAGGAGAGGACTCTCCTCCACTTTGTTGTTCTTTGTCCGTTAGCGTAGCTCGCTAGCACCAGAAGCTAACAACAACGATCTCCGGTACTGGTGCGCTCTCTCTCTCTCACTCACTCGCGCACGCACAAAATGGCTCGTTCCACACACAAACAGAGCCGAGCTTTAATGAAACACAGAGACCCAGACGTAATAGTACTGTACTGTATCATATTATTTTCGAATCAATACTTTTTCAAATAAATGATTTTTATTTTAATCTTTTTTATTATTTTTTTTATAACCATTTTTCCTCCTGGTCCCCCCCTGTCATGCCTCTGCGGCCCCCAGGGGGGGCGCGCCCCCCACTTTGGGAACCACTGCTTTAAAGGTAGGGTAGGCAATTCACTTCAGAAACACTTTTTGTTATATTCCATGGAATGCTCTTAACATCCCGATAGCAATGAATAAATTAAATGCTTTGAAATACACAAGATTTAATCTGTGGAAGCTGTGGCGCTGTAAAAAGCACGACCAATCATCTGAGCCGGCCCGGGCAGATAATTGGATGGCCTACCTGCCTGTCAGCCTTCCATCTCGTGCACAAACTTATCTCGTGCCCTCATTGGTCATGTGCGCGTTCGTGTGTGTTGGAGGAGGGGCTGAAGGAAGGGGCAGATTTTTTTCCGTTGCATACTTTCAAATTCTAGCGCACTCGAGCTGGTTTCTCCATTCTTACCTACCCTACCTTTAATCCCACTCTTCGTTAGAGCTAATTATTTCCCATTTCATGGCGTGTTCAGCCAACCTTTCATTTTTTGTCAATAATTTTCTTCAAAATAAATTGTATTTTTAATCTACTCTTCAAACACCTTAAATTATGATTACTCATTGATTGACTTTTTAAAATATTTATTTTAGCCAGAAGAATAGCTGTATTTATTAACTGTGCGCGGACTTCATCTAAAAGCCCAAATAAAATATTAAACGGTGTAAATGTAAATTCAATATTTGCTGCCAAATAATTTGCAAAACATTATGATTTGTGTGGAAACATTTTCATTATTGAGATTTTATTTTATTTACAAGGTGTCACATTTTCTGAATTGACCAATCAGAACTTTATTAAGCCTGCGTATTGTTTATGGTTGAATGTGGGCCGCGAACATTTTTTTGATTGAAGGGCCCTGAGCCCTGAGTTGAAAAAGGTTGGTAACCGCTGAGCTAGACTGCTGGGGCAGCTCACGGCCTGCCAGCAGTAGTAGAACCTGAAAGACACAGCTCAGGGTAAAATCACTAACTGTGAATCATTAGCTCCTCACCTACTTCCTGTTTCACCTCAGTTACTTTTTGAAGTTCGGACAACAGATTGAAAATGAGTCTACGCTGATGGTTGCCGCGCTGTCCCATATTTAAACAAACTTTCGTTCATAACATGGCTTTTGTCAGAGGAATTCGCGACTTGAATTTTACGAGCTAGACCTATTGTTTCACGATACGGAAAGAAAGAAAGAAAAGTATCCTCGCTGCAGCGGGACCGAAGCAGCACCATGCCCGAGGTATCAAAGATGAAGAAGCCCGACGTGAAGCTAGTTCTCCTGGGGGACATGAATGTGGGGAAGACCTCGCTGCTCCACAGGTATACGGAGAGGAAGTTCAAAGACACCGTCAGCACTGTTGGAGGGGCTTTTTTTCTAAAACAGTGGGGACCATACAACATCTCTATATGGGACACTGCTGGTAATATGTTTTTGTTATTCGACTTTTCCCCCTGTTTATTTAAAACTCTTATCTCATTCCTCCTGTTTATGAGCTGTGTTTACCTGATAAAGCGTGACCCCCACCTGAGGCAATCACAGGCATGTGACAGCCCAGTCTGCACAGACACTCTGCACCATCTGGGGAAAAACAACCCTTAAAAGCACATCAAAATAAATCTCCAAATATATACACAGTCACACACAGACCCCTTGAACCTCTTTAATAAACATGTAGACTAATCTACTGGGAAAACCTATAATCATTAACATGATATTAGCCCAAAGTTATTTGCTCCAAGTTGCTTTGTGTTCAGCCTTAATCTTAAAAGAAAAAATAACGTTTAAACTTAATGAAAAAATAACATTTAAGATACAAAAGTCTCAAACAACTCAACGTTATTGTTGATTTTGAATACACTTATTTACTCATATTGTTATTAACATTTAACACATCAGTTTCTGGCAGTTGGCAAGACTATCTGAGAAAATCATTTATAACACATCTGTTTTGGCTCTGGTTATTTGTGATTATCATCTCTCACAATTCTCCGTTAAAAATGCAGAATAAAGCATAAATTCTTTAATTGGAAAGAATGACATGCATTAACAATTAAATAACTAGTTTGTTCCAGTTTTAGCTGGTTATCATATGCTAAGGAGCATTTGACGCCCTTCTAAATACGAGTAAGCAAACATCACAAACTTACTCACCATGCAAACAACTGCTTGGTAAAAACAAACTCATGGAGGTCTTTTATATTATTGTGCAGTTAGCTTAATGTTGTTAATATAATAGGTCACTTCAGTTTTCCCTGCTTGCAAAAAACAGAGAGGTTAAAAAATCACGGTATGCTTTGCTTTCCTAAATTGCTCAACATTGGATAAATCTAAACCATCATAACCTGCACAGTCATCCGTGTACTTCTGCATTACTGCTAATTCTCGTACGCAGAACACATTTGACCTTATCATTTTGCATCTTAAAGAGCTGCTTCAGATAGCTTGTTTGATAGCTGCCCGATAAATAACAACAACTTATTTACATGTGATTTGGCCTTCATGACAGACACGTCAATTAAAGCTGAAAAAATATTAGTTTTTATATTATCGAATTTTCTGTTGCAAATGCCCTTTATTGACTATTTATTTCAGCATTACTTCTGTTATACAGAAACATGATTAGTAATCTCTATGCTCTGTCCCTGTTAACACCTTTTATAAAGAACTCTGTTAATTTGCCTGGAGGATTTGTTATCCACAGAACCAGTCCGTTATATTGCTCTCATATTGAATACATTGAATACATTGAAACTTGTGCTTTTCTCGAACTTCACTCCTTCATTTGCCCCAAGGATCACAATGACTTAATAAATCTTTGATCCTAAATACACATATTTATATTTTCTGTGGAAAAAATAATTTGGTGAATCATCAAGTTACTGCTGATGAAAAAGCTTATAACATTCCAGTATTGTATAAACATGAATTACAGTAATCCATCTAAAGCAAATACACACTGCCAAAAGTAGAGCTGGTGAGCCACAGAGATAAGGAAAGTCACAGTAAGCCATTTCCTGTCTATGTTCCCCTACTCCGTGACCTCTGACAGGACGTTGGTGTTGCATTTGATTTAGTCTGTGGTAGAAAATGCAGGATCAGCACTAAGTCATTTTAGGGCTGCTGTTTCAGAGCCCAGCGGCGGCCAGAAAGAGTAATACTGGTTGTACGAGGACCTGTAGGGGGATTGGCTCGGCAGCTCATTTAAAACATGCTGTTGCTTATTTTTCAGCTGACTAAGCCTGTTCTTAGTTAAGTTTCAAAGTCCCATGTTTCCTTAAACATGTTCCTCTTAACGGTCACATGACAGGGCTACCCGTCTTCCCAGGCTTCAACATATCCTTTCCAAACTTGCATAAACAGTCATTTCCAAAAGCATGAGAAGGAATGAATGAGTTTTATCACTTCAGTCAGTAGTTTGTAAGAAATACATTTCTTCCTGCCTTGGATCTTTAGTGTATTTAAGAAACTATTTATGACAAATTGATTTAATGAATACACTCATAGATTCTATTATAGCTGAAATTATTAGTTGATCCGTTAGTCGACCGGCACTAATAATCGGAAACAGTTTCAATGATGAAATAAAAGATAAACACTCTCTGGTTTCTTTGCTCTTTTACTTCATATATAATAGTAAACACAATATATTTCGGGTTTCCCAACAGTCGTAGCGGAAAACAAGGAATTAAAGAATGTTTATTTGTTAATTTTATGGTTATTTCCCCCAGTTTTCTGACATTTTAATGGACAAAATTATCAGTCAATCAACAAAATAATCTTAGTATTATCCAAGAGATGCCACTGTAGCATCGAGTCACACAACGTGCCCTTTCAACAAAGGTTGTCTCTGTTTTCATCCTGCTGACTATCTTGCACAACTTCGCTCTGTGCGGTGTGTCCTCCTGCAGTGCTGCTCTCACAGTCTGTTTTTAGTTTTGTATGTTTAAAGGGATTCATGTTGAAAATGAAGCCAGCATTTGTTTACCTCGCTGTCTCCTCAGGTCGGGAACAGTTCCACGGTTTGGGATCAATGTACTGCCGAGGTGCAGCCGCTGTCATCCTCACCTACGACGTGTCCAACTGGCAGAGCCTAGCCGAGCTGGAGGAGCGCTTCCTGTCCCTGACTGACACCGCTAACCACGACTGCATCTACGCTTTAGTGGGCAACAAGGCTGACCTAACGGACCCTAGAGCCCAGCTGTCCCAGGACTCAGATGAGGCATCCAAGGACCGAATGGATTGTGGGGAAGAGAGGACAGAAACCCAGGTTCTGTCTGCCTGCCCCATGCCCCCGGCCTCCCCTGTTTCCCTCTCGGGGATAACGCCAGGGAAACAGGTGACCCCCGAAGATGCAATGGCTCTTTACGGGAGAATACTGCGCTACAAGGGCCTGGAGGAAAAGAGCTGCCTGCCTGCAGAGAAGATGTGCTTCGAGACGAGCGCCAAGACGGGCTACAATGTGGACAATCTGTTTGAGGCCTTGTTTGATCTGGTGCTGCCCTCCATCCTGAGAAATAAAAATGAGAACCAGCATTCCCCCACAGTGGACCTGGAGGAGTGCAGTGGGGCCAAGCGGGGCAGACCCGGCTGCTGCTAGAGAGGGCTCCCAGCAGAGACTTGTTTTTAACAATAGACTATCAAAAGTTGGTCTGTGGACCAAATATAAACTGTGACGGTACTACTTAATTGCCTTGACTGAGACCTAATAGCATTAATGACCTCCCGGTAACACAAACAGATTCTGTGACGGTGTCCACTTACATTTTAAGGAATGGAAATAAACTTGTGCTGCGTTTTGACTAAGCTTTGAAGCCTTCATCCCCAACGACTGAAACCGCACTTGTATCCCAAAGATGTGCCTCGGGCCAGATAACACATAAATGCCAATCACTGATTTTTGTAAATGTTTTAGATTGAGAATGTCACAAATGTAACGGCACTAATTGTTAAGTGTGTGGCAGGTTGCACTGTGTTTATTACAGTTGTATTTTAAGATTACCACCAATCACTTGCTTTATGCTCTGTTACTAGCATTATTGCTGATCTTTATATTTTATATGCACATTTTCAACTTTTCAGTGATCGTATATAGTTAATACATCTGTAAAATGATTACGGCAATTGTTTTTTATCCAAGGGACAATGCACATCAATTAACATGAGCAGTTCATTCCATCACGTTAACCTGCCAGATTTAGCCCTACAGGCTAGTTTTGATCTACTGCCATAATAAAGATGTATTTTACAGCCTTTCTGGTCTGCCAGATTCAATAAGTATCTATCACTTAAGGGGTAACCAACCATGCTCTTTTATATACATTCTATGACCAGATTGTGAGAGTAAAAGGACACAATCAGAAATATAACCAACTTTAATCTTTACAATCCAATGAAATGATGAAATGACTAATATTCCAATACAGTTGTTTGTCAGTATATTCCCAGTTTATACAAACTGTTTATTTGCAACTCTTGGTGAAGTAGAACATTTGACCTACTTTCTAAATTGTGTAAAATACTTTAATCTCACCCAGGATCAGTGGCCGCAGCATGGATTTGCTGCAGTCAGACCTTTGATCCGAGCTGTTTGCAGTCTGTCTTGTTGGAAGTTCAGGTTAGTAGATTTATAAAGGAAAATGAGTGTGACATGAGTAGTATTAGATAATATATATATATTTAACCTCTTAAAGAGGGGCTTCAAATTCATTCAGCTGGTATAAATACAAAGATAATCAGTGCATTGTGTGAACATATGGGGTATGAAAAATAAAGAGTTATAGATGATTTTGCAATAGTTGATAAATACATAAAACAGAAGAACAGTTTGAAGACACTGTTGTATTATAAAAATACATTTTGAAAAGAAATGGAATAAAAGCAGGATAATACTGTCGATAGTATCAACCAACAATTGTTCAAGACACATTCTTCAATTGGCAAAGAAGCAGTGTTAGTGGCTTTATGGTGGGCTGTAAACCCTAAACAATACAAACATCTAGAGAAACTGAAGCAGTGCATTCACACGGGCGTCTTTGGTTCAGCTGTAGTGTTCTGATCTACTCTGATTGTTAACAATGAGTCATCGTAGCTGAGGTAATAAGTTAAACAGTAAGCACCAATCCACATTTAACATAAAAATACTTGTTTTCCCATAATGCTGTTGACTTCATAACGGGGCTTCTCCTGTTTTATCTACATCGGGACATTTCACTCAGCGTTCAGGGCATCGCACAGTCATTGCATATCTGAGCTCTGTGGCTCGGGGAGAATGTTTCCAATTTACATTGATCTAAATCAGTATTTGAGATCCCCCTCTGTTTGGTTTAGTACACAGATAGAGAGACAACACTAGGCCACTGTCAATGCAACCAATACTTTGTGTCCATGCTGCTGTTGCGTCTCTCACAAGTTCTTCATGCAGACCTGGCAGCGGCTGATGCGTGACAGCAGCTGACCGGCTTTGAGCGTCTCTGATGACGGCTCAGTGTGGAACGACTGATCTATGGAGGTTAGCCAGAAGCTCTGTTTGTTAGCAAAGTAGTGGCATGTGCCTTTGGCCCCGTTACACTCAAGGAACGGTGCTGTGCGGAAGTCCTCCAGGCAAGAGCCGGGCGATGACAAAGACTGACCTCCGCCTTCATTTCCTGCTGCTGTGTGCTGTGGAGACAAAGGTGAGAGGGCGACAAATGAGGCAGGTGTGAGTTCAGATCTACACAAGAGATTTTGGTTACATGTTACAATTTAGAATCTAAGTTAAATATTGATGTTGTGTACATTTTATTTTTGTCAACAAATCCACTTAACGATCAACACCAACAATGAATTAATCAACTAACAAGTTATGTATTTGATGGAAACGCCTAACATTGCATATCCTTCTATAGTAAAGACCTCTAATCAATTCAGAAAACAGTTTCCAACAAACACAGTTGTCTCATACTACATTTTCTTTAAAACTACCGAGTATCCAGCCTTGTCCGATAAATAACACTGCTTGTGATTAGGAGTTACTTTAAACATTCCTTTATGTTGCAAAAACACATGTAGTTCTGTTTGAGATGGGTTAATACAGACACAACGAACAAAAACCTGTAGAACAATGGAGGGTAGGGAGAGGAGTGGCGACCTTTGGTCCAAATCAAAGCAGCAGAGTATCCTGACTTTTAGCCACTAGCATGGGTCAAGTTTCATAAACGCTGCGTCATTGCGACATTGCAATACATGGGGCCATTTCGTGAAACCCTCCCTTTCTAGCTGACCAACACCCACACTCTCATTCTCCACATTCCCAGTTTGTCACCAAGGCGTTCTGTTTTACATTCTGTAATAATTAATCTGAGATTTTATGAAATTTCCCAAAAGCAAAAGAATACATCATACATCATACAGATGTTTTCACAAGCCAAGAAATAGAACCCATCCTTAGAAAATAGATCATCCCAAATAGAAGTGTTATCAAGCATTGTCCTCTTGTGTTGTTGTATCAAGATTGGCTACTCACCATGAGGAAGGAGTAGCCGATCCACATGCTGCGCCAGCCCGCAGGACACATAGGGATGGTGATGTCCTGGCTGTGGATTGCGATGGCAACTGATGGAGCTTCACATACTGAGCAGCGGCTGATGTACGGTTTAATCTCTCCCTCTACCACAGGCATCATGGGAATAGGAGCGGTGGTCGACAACCAGTAGGACTTATCATTCCTGCTGGCATAGTAACAAAGGTCTCCAGGGTTGCAGTACAGGAAGGGCATGGTGTTGAACCGTGGGAGGCAGGAGCCAGCCAAACCTGAGAAGGACAATACAAAATTATACTTTAAAAAAGGCACACATTTAATAAACAAACTTGAGTTAAAGTGTATAACACAATAAATAAGAAAACAATGTAAATAATCATGATATGGTTAAAACTTAAAACAGATTAAAATGATGAGAGGAAATAGGGTTAGGTAGAGATAAGAGATAACGTGTGGTTAAGCACAATAGAGTACATTTAAACTTCCTTACAAGTGAACACAGCAACCACTTTGCCACAACTGACAACTATGTGATATTGAAAAATGCTAAAATGAAGTATAACAGTACCACAAGTACAGAAGAATAATTCAAAAATCAATAACTTGACTAAGTAATGTCAGTTATCAGGCAGAACCCAGCAAAAACGACCCTACATTATACCAGAAGAATTAAAACTTCTTACAAATTATATAGAGCCTACCTAGCAAGTATGCCTTAGCTAACTTAGGTTAATTTGTTATAGGAAGTTATAATTTTATTTTTTCTTTGAAAATGTATGGTTTGTGGTGTGACAGTAGTTTCAATGCAAAATAAAAGGTCCTGAGTTCCTGGGAGCTCAAACAAGTGAAGGTGCTCTTTAGTCTGGAGCACAAAAGCTCCAAAAACAAAAGTCAAAGTTGTTCTTCTGGGAAAAGTAAAAAAACGCTTGGTTGCATTTTAAAGTTTTGCCTTGGCCTTCCTTATTTTTTGAAAGGAGTTTCTGCATCGGAAATAATGTTTTGATGGTCTAACCCAGTTTTATAGTCTTTATAGTTTTAATGTTTCACCTGAGAAAAGTGTTGAAAAGTGCTATATAAATAAACTTGCCTTGCCTTGGTGAAATGTGGTCAATTGTATAGAAATATAAAAAAAAGGATTTCTCTTTTTAGCCACGTCCTAACTGTCGTGCATAGTTCATTCACTTAGAAACAAAATCTGATTACATTGATGAAAAGTCAATGATTGATTTAAATGTTGGAAGAACCTCGTAACAGGATATGGGCGAGGTAAAACTTGAACATATTCAGAACCTTTTCTCTCTGCTAAACAGCCTTGTTCACATTAGAACGATCCACATTTAAAACAAACGCAGAGCTAACCGGGAGAAGAAAACAATGAATTTAGTGTGTTTGACTTGTTAAAAAAAAACATAAGAGAGATGTTACACATTAAATACAATATGAAATAACCATAAACGAATTCTCCATATTCTGGGGTTATGAGCTTACTCAATTATAAAAAAGGGGTCCCTTAAGAGAAAAGGTTCAGAACAACAGCTTTAGGAGGCATTTACATATACATATATTTTCAAGATTGCCTCTAACTATTGCAGGAAACGGTTTATTCTTGTCTGGACTTAATGTACCTCCACAAAGCAGCATCTCATTAGAGTGCCACTGTGTCTGACCCATCTGATTACTCGCTTTCTTTTCCTGCCACTTCTGCTTTATCGTTGTTTCTTTCCTTGAGTGTCTTGTTAAACTCCAATAAGCAGTTGTCATGCCTCCTCTCTGCCTCCTTTATCTTTTTAATTTAAGTCTATTTATAATATATTATCACATGTACCATCACATTTATTTCACCCCCATAATGCCACTATAGTTCTACTTGTAAATGTGAAATTGAAAAGTAAGATCCCCGGCTGCTTCAATTGAAACTCAGCCAGCACATGATGAGCCCGGCTGCTCAGGAATGTCTTCTGGTTCACTGGATCACAATGTCCTTTCTAACAGGACTGCACTGTAACAAACTCACACTGGCACATGTCTAGAGTAGACAATGCACTGATAACATTTTCTCCCAGTCTAACGGAGTAGCAAAATAATGTTCATTCACAAAAGAGATTAGAGATGACAGTCACCACGTACATTAAAATACCCAAAGATTTTACACAGACTTACCGAGGTCCTGGTTGTGGGCCTTCTCCTGGCCCTCGAGGTACAGCAGACTGTAGCCGTCCCACAGTTTGGACATGCCCACAGGACACATGGGCACCTGTTCTGTCTGACTGTGTTTCACCAGCAGGTATCCCACGCTGACGCTGCGGCCCGGCATACCAGGTAACCCATGGATACCAGGGTTGCCGTGGTGACCTATTGAGGAATGATATAATTATTGGTTTGCTTTCATTCATGCTCAGAGTAAGGCAATAGACGATTGGAAAATGTTGTGTAATTTTCCTCAGAGCCACAATAATTTTAATTCATAATATCATCAAAATAAGCTTAAAACTCCCAAGAGGCAATAAAACACACTGCAATAGCTTTGCACTTTTGTTAAGTAAAGTGTTTGTATTGCATAACAGATAAGACAAATCTTTCTCTAGTGAACATCCTTTTTAATTGAATAAAAACAACAGTAAACTGTTAAATAATGTCTTCATGAATCATAAGTCAGCCTGCATAAATAAAGGATTATTTCTTATATGTTAATTCCTTTTGAAAAAGGTTATATTTTTCACATTTCTACCATGATGAACTACACAGCTTTCTCAAGCCTCGCAGGAGAGTATTCACAATTATCCCGGCAATGGAGTTTATAGTAAGTGTTTTTATCGCTATAAAATCCTATATTGTTCCATCTCTACTCATACAGCAAAGACTTGATACATGCATTACCATTTACAGTAAGATGGGCTAAATATTAGTCATACAAACAAGTCATATAGCTCTGACTTTACTGATATATCTGAAAACACGAGGTGTACATGCATGTGAATGATTTCAAAGGTTCACTCAAAGTATCAATTATCTAAAATAATGACCTTTAAGAACTGGTTTAGGAACTCTCTAGCCCAAAGCCCAAAGCTATCAATGCCTATTTATTCAGACTTTCACAATAAAACCCCGAAAACCCTCTTGGGAACTGGGTTCCTGCTCAAGTCTGCACATACTTTAAATCCTTTAATCCAGGTGTATTAACCCTGACATACCTTCACTGCCTTCCAGACCGGGGTGACCCATTTGTCCGGACTCTCCACGGTATCCAGGCGTTCCTGGTGTACCACCAATCCCCGGCATGCCCTTCCGACCGATGGGTCCGATGAAACCTGCACCGGAAGAGAATACGTTTGTGTTGCTGAACCGGACACTACAATAAGCGATGCTCAACGACACATGTTTAATTAGAATGACTTACCTGTATCGCCGGGGGGCCCCTGTGGCCCTGATTCCCCTCTGACCCCCTCTGGTCCTTTGATACCCTGTGGTCCTGAGAGGCCTCTCTCTCCTGGGACTCTTACTGGAATTGGAAGGGGACCCTGGTTTCCTGGTATTCCACGAAAACCTGCAGCAGAGAAGGATAATCTAATGACCGTGACAAAAAAACACATAAACTCCCATTTGGTAAGGAGTGAGCTGTCTGTAGATTATGTGAAAGTGTATCATATACCTGTAGGTCCAGAGTTTCCTTTTAGGCCAGATTGCCCTCTTTCTCCCTTCAAACCAAAGCCTCCGGGAATGCCCATCACTCCTTGCTCTCCTTTTTCCCCTGTAAGGAGAAAAGCATACACACATAGGGAGTGATCATGTTATCAGGAAGTATGGGTGACAGGAATGAGTAGAGATGATACAAAAATCTAAAATGATTAACTCTCATTTTGATTTAATAATCTTTCCAAGCCTTTAACATTTATATATACAGTCTATGCCTTTGACAGAGAAAGTGCAACATACTGTTTGCCGACTATAAAATATGTTTAGGTTATTTCATTCTTTTAACGTTCAATCTTTCTACTTTATTGAATATCTTATATTTAAGATATTTTGTGTATTTTATTGATTTCACCTTGAGATCTGCTCCTGTAAAATGTTCACTCATCATTTGAACACATGCTTACCTTTCTTCCCAGAAACACCGTTTGGCCCCCTGTATCCAAAGGAACCTCTATCTCCTTTGAGTCCTTTCCTGCCAGGGATTCCAGGAAAACCATTTGTTCCCAGTACACCTTTTTCCCCAGGAGGAGCATCCACTCCAGGAAACCCTTTTGCTCCAGGGAAACCTGAGAAACAAATCATTAAGGGTTTATAAACATAGCATTAAAGCCAGTCTGAAGTGACACTTCCGTCAGTTCACTAATTCTTTTTTAAAGGGGACCTATCATGCAAAATGCACTTTTGTACGTCTTTTATATATGAATATGTGTCCCCGGTGTGTCAGGGAACCCACCAAGTGTCAGAAAAAACAACCCTCTCTCTTTTCCTCCATACCTAAATCTCTAAAAACGGGGCTGCAACGGATCTGATAAAAACTGATCCAGATTTGAACACTGTCCTGACGTCAGGACGGTGGCGCTACGGCTATTGGGCCAACTCTCCACCTATTAGGGGAATGTGGGGTTGGGCCACGGCGGCCATTGCCGCTCGAAAGCGCTGGAGACGCTGTAGTACATATGCCAGGCCTGTAAGTGGCGCTGTAGTCTGCCACAAAAGCAGCCCACCAGCAGATGACAAACACCCACCTCTCCGCCTCTTCCAAGGAGCTCACAGAATCAGCCCCCTGCCCCCTGCAAATAGAGCGAAATGAGGCATGGCTAAAATGCATGATCTGTTTGGTATTTTGAAAACAGAAACGTATAAATATACCTTATATAGGTATGGCCCTACAATATATCATTTCAATATAGCATGATAGGTGTCCTTTAAGTATCAGGTTCCGACTGGTCACAACAATAATTAAATATCACTCTTAATACAACAAATAATTAACATTTATCTATTATGGGGTGCACATTTAGCTGTTTGCTGTCCTTATTTATTTATGTTAAAAACTGGTTGCCACTGATGGCAACCAAAGGCCAATAAGTGGTTGACAGTTTTTCTGTATGGTTGACAATGGCAACCTGGCAACCGTTACTGTCGAGCCCTGTTAGATCAGATAAACTCAAAACACATCATCCTATTCACACGGAAGAGAAACCATACTGGTGTGCAGAGTGTGGGGAAACCTTTTCTAGAGGTAGTAATCCATGAGTGCTCACATTGCAGCTCTGAGAGCCAAGCTAGCTGTTTCCTCCTCCTGATGTCCTGAGAGCTGTATTGTTATATGTTAAGAGTCTTTCTAAATGAAAATCTGACCAACAGTTATTACTTTTCTAACAAGCATTCACACTATGCCAACACGAGGCCACAGAGATGCTGCTTCTCCTGATTTAATTCATGTTTGTAATAGTTACTGATCTATAAAGAAATGTTCTACTAAGCTGTGTTTCAACCATGGTTTTCTTATAGCCTTGTTATGCTTCAGTTCAATTTTACTGTTTTTCCTTTTTTAACATATTCAATGTCCCGGGTTAAACTTCTAGCCTCGTTGAGCTGCATTGAAGGGATTTTGTTTTACTCTTCATTAATCTGCTGAGTAGTTTCTCTAATAATATATTAAAGACCCAGTCACCACCATTGAAGGAAGAAGGACCCCAGGTCATAATGGATTATCCTAAAGTTGGAAGCCATCAGGACAATCCAGGTTACAAAACCTTCTTCCACCGTTCAATGTCCCATTTTATATGCTACCTTGCAAAGTCCAGACGGGCAAGTTTCTGGCGCGTAAGGAGACATGGCGGTCGAATACTTTTTTTTGTTCTATAAGCCCTTCTCTCCCTGATGACGTCTTATCGGAATCTGAATCAGGTTTATTACCAGGTAGGTTGACACATACGAGGAATTTGACTTGGTGTCATGGTGCATACATTTAAAGTAAAACAGAAATTAAAAACACAGAGAACTATTTTGGTTATTGGGCTGCAGTCAGGATCCGTGACCGCCTTCATTTGGGGTAGGGTTAGCCTGTGTCTTTACGGAAAGCCCATAGGATCATTTGTCGCAGTGGAATTTTTTTTGGGGTCTTCACTTTTATGTCCTGTAACCCTCAGGATATTTTAAGAAATGTAATATGACCGTCTTCCTCAGAATCAGATCAGAAATCATGGTGCATACATAACATAATTCCTGTGTCCAACCTCGGCAGCGATGGCAGGTTTATCAACAATCGTGCCACGTTCAAAGACAGAAAGCCTTTTTTCCTTTTACTTTTACTATTCAAGTTTATTTAACAGTTTAAACTAGGACCGGGACTCGATTAAAAAAATTAATCTAATTAATTAGAGGCTTTGTAATTAATTAATCGAAATTAATCGCATTTTTAATCACATATAAATATTTGACCTGAGAACAGTGAGAAGCAATTTTTTTCACATGGATTTTAGTATACCATTGAATAATGACTGAATACATAAGCTTAAGCAACAAAACATTGTTTATTTTTTTCAAGGTGGTACTTAGCCAAGACCAACAGAAAAGTGCATTTTTGCCATAAAGTGTAGCAATAGCATATTTAGGAATACAGTACATTTCAGAGATTCAGGTAGCCTATAGGTAGGTAGACCTTCTGTAAACTATAACACTTTGTTTTTTAAGTAAAACACAATACTTTCAAGTACATTCAGAACATTGTAAACCCTGACTATTAGAAAACATCTCTCTGTTGCTTCAGAGGCCATAACAGACTTTGTTGATTTCCCAACAGTTGATTTAAAAAATCTAATACATTTCAGTCCAACTCTCTCAATAACCTTGGCCAAAACAATAAACAGTTCAACATAAAGTGCCAGTTGCACCGACAACATAATAAATAGTTCAACATAAAGTGTACTGTACCATTTAAAATAAAATAAAAAAGTGCCAGTGATTGACCTCAATCCCTCCTATTCTTCCAATATCCTGATGAAAAATAAAATCTCTCTGTTGCATAGGCCACTGTTTGATCAACGCGAATTGGGTGTGGGTCCTTGTACTCCGAGTCGGGCTAACGTCCACGCTAGCTTCCACGCTAGCTGCTATAGGTTTTGCATTGAGGTGATACTTGAGGCTTGATGTGCTGCGGTGATATGCGAATTCCTTTTTGCATAATTTGCAAACAACNCCCCTCGCACGAAACTCTAGTCGACGCCCGACAGTCCTTCTCCCCCTCTTTTTTCTCTAGAGGCAGGAGGCACACAAATTAAGGAATTACAATACTAATATATCTTTCACGTAATAAGTAAAACAAAATTTCGAGTTATTATTTGTTTCTTTCTGGGAAACTGCGGCCGTGAAAAAATTAAAACCGGCCTTCTAAATTTGTAATTGCCCTGTAGACCTGGCCGTTGACTTTAAGAGCGCGTGCCAGGCGGAGCAAGGAACCTTCTTCCCGCTCTCCACCCACAAACAGTAGACGACCACCTGATTGGCCTCTCTAAATTTCACGACGAGAGCTGCCCCTCCCTAACGTAACTTAATGTCGTCGTCCTTCCGCCGTTTGCGAACGGAGCTCCTCCCTCTTTTTCTCGGTGTCGCCTCTATCTGTCAACGGTTGGTACCGGTACACGGTACCTGCCGATTCAAAGAAGAAGCGACGAACACCGTCTGAAGTCGCGGTGCTCTGTTCGGACCGTATACGATGTCGCAGAGGTCGCGACATGCTTACCGTTTAGCGAGCGGCACCTCGGTTGGCGTGATTAGAGGGATTATCTGCCTATCAGGTGGTCATATACTTGTGTCGGGTGGAGCAAGGACTGCAGTCTCTTGAAGGTTCCTTGCATCGTCTGCGGACGTCGTCTTAGCAACCGTCACGGCCAATCTCTACATCGCAATTACTCCTTTCTCTCTCCAAAAGGCCGTGTTAACTACCCCACGGCCAGTGTCCAGTGTATAAGAAATTAATATCTGCGATGTTGTTTACGTAAACGTACTATCAGATATATTATTTCTTTATTACTTGACTGCGCTTCAAGTGAAGTCTGCCGTCTACGATACAAGTTACTTGGGAGAATTACTGTCAAAGTCGTCCAAGGGACCTAGAGTTTCGTGCGAAGGACCTACCTTGCGAGGAGGACCTGTTCCACCTGCCCAGTCAACGTCGACTAAGACCGTAATTTCGCTGCAGTTTCCTCTATCTCCAAGGACGTTTTTGTCCCGACCGTTTCCTCGTGACCTCTCTTTCCATTCGTACCTGATTTTACGTACTCACTCTGTAAAACTGTTTTGTCTGCGTTCCACTATAGGTATTATATGTGTCTTACCAGCGATGTTATTATTCAATAAGTTTATATCATCGTCTTTCTAACGTGCAATTCTATATTAATGGAAATAGTTAAATTCGTTTGTCATACATGATGTAGTACGTTCCGTATTCTTACATATGTTACTTTACACACATTCCGAACTTTCTTTGACCAATAAGATTATATACTCTCAATTAGTATCACTAACAACATAGTATGTGTCAGTGTATCAGACTATTGTATGTGAATTCACACTACAGGAATGTTCCTCTCTTTCTCTTCTATACCCGAGACAAATAAAAATTAACCGAGAAACTAGCGGTGACTCGTAGAAGAGTGACCCATGCGGAAATCCAGGTACTCTCCGGTCCCATGGGATACTCAGCGACCAGACGGTCCTCAGGCGCAGACCAGGTTTACCCGCAGAGCCTCAGGGCTGGCTAGGACCTAACTGGGCGCAGTGGACTTAGTTCACTTTTTAATCTAACAAGTTCAGAATTCTACGAGTTTGGAAGTTTTAAATGTAAAACAACAGGCGACACGTAAATAACCACTAACTAACCTTTCAAGTGTAATTTCCATCGGGCGATCTTAAACTTTCATCGCACTCGGCTTTTTTTAGACCCGGGAACGAAGTCTGAAGGAATGTCTGCGGGTAGGGGGCGTGGTCAGTTGCAGCTCATTTGCATTAAAGCTACGTCACAGAATCAGCCCCTGCAAAAACAGGGCTGGAAAGAGCAAATAGAGCGAAATGAGGCATGACTAAAATGCAGGATCTGTTTGGTATTTTGAAAAAAAAAACGATATTTATATACTTTATATAGGTATGGTCCTACAATATATTGTTCAAATATAGCATGATAGGTCCACTTTAAATTAATTACTTTTTCATTTTAAACAACACCATGAGTACATCATGCAGAATACTAATAATCCAATGAATTGTGTGTACCCTTAAATCTGAAACTGGTTCTTTTAATTATATAGTCAATTAAGTGATTGTTTTCATACACAGTCATAGTATAAAAGGTGATGCAATACCAGGAAGAGTAAGAGAGATATGGCTCTGTTTATTTTTAATTTGGCTTTCTTTGATCCCACTGCATCTTCTCACCTGGGTACCCTTTAGGTCCATGAGAGCCAGGGTCCCCTATGAGTCCTGGTCTGTCAGGAGTCCCGTCTGGTCCAAATGGGCCTCGGAGTCCCGACGATCCAGGTTGACCCCGGTCACCTGATCAAGTGAAAAATTAGATTGTTTCAAGTCTTAAGATGCTTAAACCCTTTCAAAATTTACATTTTGTGTCGCTGTGCATTATTGGTGATTGATTGGAAAGTTTCACATTAAAAGGTAGCGCTAGAATTTGAAAGTACGGAGCCGAAAAAAATCTGCCCCTTCCTTCAGACTTCCTTACAGAGCCCCTCCTCCAACATACACGATCCTGGTCCTGGATGGATATCCTCGTGGATTCATCTTCTTATTAATGACACATGCATTTCTAAACATTTGGACTACCTATGTTGTAAATGTATTATCTTTTCAATTTACACACGGCATCTATTGCACGTCTGTCCGTCCTGGGAGAGGGACCCTCCTCTGTTGCTCTCCATGAGGTTTCTCCCATTTTTCCCTTTAAACTGTGGGTTTTCTCCGGAAGTTTTTCCATGTGAGGGTCTAAGGACAGAGGGTGTCGTATTGTCATACTGACATTCTGTACAAACTGTGAAGTCCACTGAGACAAATGTAACATTTGTGATATTGGGCTATATAAATAAACATTGATTGATTGACACCAACGTGCACATGACCAATGAGGGCACGAGATAAGTTTGTGCACAGATGGAAGGCTGACAGGCAGGTAGGCCATCCAGTTATGTTAGCCGGGCCGGCTCAGATGATTGGTCGTGCTTTACACAGCGCCACGGCTTTCACAGATGACATTTTTGTATGTATTTATTGTCAAAGCATTTAATATATTCATTGCTATCGGGATGTTAAGAGCATTCCATGGAATATAACAAAAAGTGTTTCTGAAGTGAATTACCTACCCCACCTTTAATGCTGAAGAGTAATGGCTTACCTAGAGGGCCCTGAAAGCCTTTCAAACCCACTGTGCCGGGAAAACCTGGCTGGCTGTTGGGGTCCCCGTCTCCTCCCTTCTGTCCTTTGCTTCCGGGTTCCCCAGTTGGTCCAGTGGTATCCAGACCTGATGAAAATATGAACAGGGGACAAGTGTCGGAGGTATTTACATAACAGAAAAATGGATATCCTCTCCACATTTAGTGAAGAATATACCTTGATTGACTTATAGTACAGTATACTTACTACTAAAAGCATGGTAAGAACATTTGTATCTTTAACCAGAAATGTCTAAGTAAGCAACAATCAAAGTTTAAAAAGTATTTTGGCAATATTTCTTAAGAGTTTCATACCAAGAAGAGCACATTCAATAATACATTAATCTCTCACGAGCAATAACAAGAGAATAGTGTGTTCAAGCTGATAGAGAAAATACGTTTTTGGTGGTTTTTAGCTTTATGAATGTATATAAAAGTTGTATCCAACCCATTTTTAACTGGCAACATTTGTTCATTATGTTCTAGTCGTGAACAGTACAAAGAGACAATTCTGGTTAAATACCTGGTGTGCCGGGGACACCCTTTTGTCCTTTAAGTCCATGTAATCCATAAAGACCCTTCAGGCCAGGGAAACCTGTAGGCATTTGTATATATCAGATGGAGGAATATGGTGGACCACAAGTAAAGTATGTATTTGATTGTAAAACAAAGAAAAGACATTGGTTTGGTTATGTTACCTTTGTTTCCTGGGAAGCCAGGAAAACCTGGGTGTCCGTCCTTTCCAGGAGTTCCAGTAAAGCCTTTTTGACCTTGGTTACCAGGAGTTCCCTTCTGCCCATCAGAGCCTGCATGAAACAAACAAAATTACAATATTGTGTACACATTGCTATTTCTTTCTGCTACAATGTCCATTATAACATCTTATAAGGAATGGGATTCTTTTACCTGTGTACCCTATTATTCCTGGATTCCCAGACTCTCCCCTTCTCCCTTCAATTCCACCAAATCCAGGCGTGCCCCAGTCCCCTGGTTGTCCAGGTAATCCTTTCTGGCCTGTAAAAGAGGTATTAGACATCACATGAGATGCACAAATGGGCCTCTACATGTTAAGTGATGCAGATCAACATCAGAGAAGATGGAACTGTTAAAGCTACAGTCATACCTGGATCTCCTGGAAGACCATGCTCTCCTCTCAACCCGGTGGTTCCTGGAAGGTCTATGCGTGGGCCTTTCTCACCTGTAATCAAAATGCACCATCACTCACAATATTTTTGCCACTTTTCTCACTTTATAAATTAGCATCTTGGTCTCCATTCATCTGGAGACTAAATATGAGGTTGTACCTTTAAAACCCTTCCTTCCTGTTTCGCCTGATGCACCATAGGCACCAGGACCTCCATTAATGCCCTGAAAAGTAATGAGCAATCAACATAAAAATGTGTCATTGTGACATGAGATGTTGCAATGAATATAATGTATTGAATAATAAGGTATATAAATGTATTTGTAACTTCAAGACAATTAACATTACACAAACATCCGAACATGACGGAGAGAGTACAATAAAAAACCATAGACTAAAAGGAATACTAAAGGAATGGCATATTGGAACACAGACAGACAGAGTCATCAAACAACCGTGCCTCTGTTGACGAGTAAACTGAATTTGAACTAAGTGGCTCTTTAAGGCGTAATAATTAGATTAGATTTTCCCAGTATGATTCTGCTCACCTTGTTGCCTGGCATTCCCCCAAACCCAGTAATTCCTCTGTTCCCAGTTGGGCCCGGCATTCCTTTTATTCCCAGCAGCCCCTCTGCACCTGGATCTCCACGGTGACCCTTGTTATTGCTGGGCTTTCCAGGATATCCGTGAGATCCCTCTTTACCAGGCACACCGGGCAAACCCTTAAGACCTGTGGAGCAGAGAAGGAGGTGAGGAAGTGAAGCCTGAGAGGACATAGGAAGTGAGAAGGAAAGAGTAACTGATGCACACCTCTCGGCCCGGTGAAACCTTGATTTCCATAATTTCCGAAGTCCCCCTTCGTTCCCTTCATGTCAACAGCCATCTGGGCGGGGATGAGAGGCTTATCCCCGGAGGGCCCTCTCAAACCACGATCACCTGGAAGACAGAGATGATAAGTCACACAGCTTTTGTTGTGGTCCCACTGTCATCTCAAAGACTTTATAAAAGAGCAGTCTCACCTTTCGTTCCACTTTGACCCAGCAATCCTTTTAGGCCGACTTGGCCCATCGTTCCTGGGTCTCCGCCTGGCCCACTGAAGCCCTTCCTCCCAAAATTGCCCCTGTTACCCTCAAAGCCTGACATGCCGGGAGATCCTTTGTATCCTGCAAAAGAGAAGGATCATCAGGAACCACTGAAGACACATTTTTCAGATCAAAACTGCAAATGACATGTTGTCTTATTATTTGACGTTTATTTCAGTCTGTATTCTTTAGAGAGTAGAATTGTCTTGTTTAATAACCCTGCTTCCTGATGGAATTCGTGATGGTAAACATTTTATACCAGAAACAGTAACAGGAAGGCATACTCATCTTCTAACAATGGCCGTTTTTAGATGGTTTTCCCACAACAAAGCTGCCTATACGTGTTCATTCAGGTAAGAAAAGGGTATTAGTAAATGAGAGGAACAAACCCTTCATTCCTGGAACTCCTGGGCGTCCATCTTGACCAGAATCTCCAGGTTCACCTGATGGGCCGTACTCTCCGGTACCACCATTAGCACCGTATAGCCCAGGGACTCCTTTTAATCCTATTGGACCTGGAGGGCCCGGGTCTCCCTCAACTCCCCTCTCTCCAGTGAAACCTGGTGAGCAGAATGAAGAGCCAGAAGGATGTTAGACGTGCACATTTCTATTAATTTCTGAGAGACAGTGTGTTGGAGTGTGTGTTCCTCTAACCTGGCTGTCCGGTACTGCCTGACTGCCCAGGTAGACCCGCTCCTCCAGGGTCTCCAGGGTAACCGTACTTGCCTGCAGGCCCAGGCCTTCCTTCCACCCCCTGCAGACCCAGAGGGCCAGTCTCACCCTTGAAGCCGATCATACCAGGCATGCCGCCCATTCCTGGAGAATGGAATAACAACATTAGTGGTTAATGGCTTATTTTTTCATAGGATGCCACCAATGCTGAAAGTAAAGCAACAATGAAGTGTGAGACGAAGTTACAGGAAGGTTAATCACATTGGATATAAGTTATAGACATGGTAAGGGTGTGAATAACCTGGATAGCCTTGATCTCCTGGATCTCCAGTCTGGCCTTTATTCCCTTGCAGTCCCGGCTGACCTGAGTCCCCGGGGGATCCTGACGATGCTCCAAAGATCTCTCCGTGAGCACCTTTTTCACCTTGCGAACCATATCTGCCCGGCACACCAGGCACACCAGGGGATCCTACTGAACCATTGCGGCCGGGAACCCCCAACTCTCCACGGGGGCCGGAAAAACCTTTATTCAAGAACCATAAATGTTAATAAAATAATCTGTATTTAGGAAAAACCAGTAGATCAGATGTGGTCAGGACTATCTGACTATGCCCAGTAAGCGTTTTCCTGTCACTCTTTACCATGTGGTCCAGTACGGCCACCTTTGCCTTGTTCTCCTGTTTCGCCTTTCCCTCCATGTTCTCCAGGTGGACCCTTTGATCCCTTTTGGCCTGGAGGACCTGTTGGTTCACAAAATAGAAACAAGGAATAAAGATGTACTCCAAGCAGGTTCCTGTGGACAGCACTCAGCACTTATTTCTTACCTTCGAAACCCGGTAATCCACTGGAACCTGGAAGTCCAGGTAGCCCAGCAGGTCCGGGAAAAGTGCCACAAGGACCTAAGGTTCAAATAAAAAGCTTTACGGCAACATCATGGTCATATGTAGAAGTTGAATGTGCAAATGACTACTTTGGTGCAAGTGGTTTTTATCTGCTGCCCAGCGTGGATTGTTTTAACAACATGACATCATAACTATATTAGCTAGTTTCTCTGTACACTTGATCTCAATTGGTTAACAAGAAACAAGAAAATGATCCAGAGGCAAAAGCAAAAACAAAGCTATTATACCAGCTACCTGTTACATCCACCTGTCCTCCATCTCCTGGACTACAGCCGCCTTTCAGTTTCATTGAGAGAAAAGGAAAAAGAAAGAGGCATTCGGAACAAGAGTTACTTTAAAGCACAAGCATTATCTCAAACAAGCTTTGCTGCAGCTTGTTTAAGGGATGCAGCTCTTGCATCAAAATGACCACAGGAGGCAAGAAAAAAATTAAATGGCAAAATACAAATGTCATGCTCTCTCCTTTTTTAATCTCAAGCTATTAATGTTCATTCCTGTTTCAGAGCTTTTGCATTTGATGACAGGCCAGGTAAAATGAAATAATTAAAAGAGTGAAAACAGGTCAAATCATTATAAAGACAAAGGCATTGAAGGAGAAATATGCAACACCATATTGAGATTGAAAGGACATAAGGAGGCAGACAGCCACCTCTCACCTGGAGCGCCAGGTGTTCCTGGAACTCCATCATGACCTGCAGCGCCATCGTCTCCAGGTAGACCACGTTGGCCCTTGAAGCCCCCAAGGACTTCACCGTCTTGTCCACTTAGCCCGGGTGCGCCGGGTGGACCAGGCTGACCTGAGTAACCTTTGTCTCCATATTGTCCTCTTGGACCTTCTCCCTGTACAAAAAGAGATAATGCCACTTTAGAAGAAACCCTAAGTCAACAGAATATGTGTCACGATCTGTCTGTGTTGTGTTTTGTCTTGTCTAGATCTGTCTTTGGTTTTCTGTCTGCGTTGTGTTTTGTCTTGTCTAGATCTGTCTTTGGTTTCCTGTCTGTGTGTGTTCCCTCCTACCTGTTCCCTCCTACCTGTTTTCTTGATTGTGTTCACCTGGTGCCCCTGTGTTTTCTCCTCCCTCCTCAGAGGAGGGAGGAGAAAACACAGGGGCACCAGGTGAACACAATCAAGAAAACAGGTAGGAGGGAACAGGTAGGAGGGAACACACACAGACAGGAAACCAANCTCTCTGCTGGAACTGCTACCTCCGCGACCCGACCACGGATAAGCGGGAGAAGATGGATGGATGGATGGATGGAGAAAAGAGGAAACGAGAAATGATGAACTGCCAGAGTGCAAATTAGAAAAAACAATGCTGTTTGAAAAGGGTCTTGTCAGTTGGATTGAGACCTACTTGAGGGATCAAAATAGTTATTATGAAGTGTTAAAGTGCACGTCTAAAGGCAAATAAAACTGCTGCACTTCTTTTACTGGGTGGCCACTTTATATACACCTGTAAAAACTAATGCAATCTAATAAAACTGCTCAGCTTCAACTTCTACCCGCACCAAGGTCAAATGCCTTATCTCCTAACATTAACAAAAGGAAGACATAAATAATGTATCCTCGCTTTGGTTTGGATCCACAAAAAAATGGTATTAGTTCTTTCTTGATCCATGCTACACCTTTCAACCAATTTACAAAAATAAGGGTATATATTTCAGAATAATTGCTCCAGTACAACATCACCACTATCTCTGACTTCAATAAGTAACTTATATTTGAATTGACTTCTCTCGAAAGTATTAACAACAACAATATGTTGCCAAATAGGTTCAAGTTTACCTTACTTACTACAATTGTGGACCTTAATGTGGAAACTAAAGTAAAACATCTGAAAACCATTAATGGTATATCGGTGAATAATGTTCTTTCCAGGTCTCACTAAACTGTATCCTGCTGTACAGTGTTTACAGCAGGTACAGCAGGTACAGCATTTGTAGCTCACACACACACACACACACACACACACACACACACACACACACACACACACACACACACACACACACACACACACACACAAGAATGCACTTTATCAGCTATGAAAGGACGCTGGTATTTATCAACCCTCTTTTTAAGTCATGCAGAAAGATAAAGTCCAGTGCACATAGTGTACCATGCAAGGAGTAAAGACATGGATATCTTTTTTAACTTAATGCTTATACACACATACGTATACATATGCACAGTTTTTTTTCTCCAGAAATAATCTACTTTTGAGTAACGACCCACCATTCCAGCCCAACAGTGTATGTTTTACTTCTTCCTCTTTGTCAATTATTACTTTTGACAGAACCATTTGTCATAGACAATTAGCCAGTTTGAAGAATTTCCTCTTCATGATGCTGAATGATGCTGTGAGTGTTTATTGGTACAGTTCCCCTTACTTCGTGTGCCTGAGAGGCTTTTCTTTCACCGTAACAATAGATAACATGACGCTTCATAGTAAAAAAAGAAGAAGAAAGGAGGCTGTTTCTTTCCAGACCTGACTCTTAAATTGCATCTATATTCTTGACGCTGTATTACATAATCTGACTGTAGTTTACCTTTTCTTTATGTTACGGTTTTACAATTATCTAGAATAATATTGCATATTGGGTTGAGTCAGTACAGTGGAAACATCACAATTATAGGCAAGATGTACAGATTTGATCATTTATCGACAAACTAATAAGTGTAGTCCTCTTTCAGTTTGGATCCGTAAAATGGAAATAAATCACAGAATGTCCGTTATTCATGCAGAGTTGGAGATGTTATGACAGGAAAGTTGTCTGTCTGTGGTTGGCTCTATTATAAGGAACAGCTGCAGGGTTGAGATCGTAGACAAAACACACACCTCCTGTTTCAAAAAGCCAGCACTCACACACAGCTGCATGCACACACACATCAAGTAGCCTCCAGTTTCGAGAGTTCATCTGAGGCTTTATCTCTCACTATCTGCATCTGATTTGTCTGTAAACTTGTTTAAATTGTTGTCTGACATTGTTTAGGCTTAGTGCTATTGTATTAATGCCTTTCAGACCCTTGGCTTGAGCCTCATATAACAAGGCCGAGAGCATTTGTGTCTGGGGACAAACAACATCCCTGTTTGTTGGTTCTCACAGGAACACTGTCCGCCCCCCAAACCTCAGAGGTCCTCACCAACTGACCCCTGAACTCCCAGTCCATGATAAAAAACACGATTCCCATGATATCTACAACCTAAACCCTTGTAAAGCATTGTCCTCGTCTTATGTTTCCACCTTGCTAACCCTAGAGATGTAAATGACACACACCCACTGAGCTACACGTGTGTGTGTGTGTGTGTGTGTGTGTGTGTGTGTGTGTGTGTGTGTGTGTGTGTGTGTGTGTGTGTGTGTGTGTGTGTGTGTGTGTGTGTGTGTGTGTGTGTGTGTGTGTGTGTGTGTGTGTGTGTGTGTGTATGTTTGTATCACCTGTTCGTTCTGATATTTTTGGTTGAATCTCCAAATCCTCATATTCACATTGCCATGGAGTGTGTTGGTTGTAAGTTGCTTTTCTGCTTGTGAAAATGCAGCAGTAATTCTGGTGTGAGGAGAGGAAAACATTGTCTGTGCCTCGTCTGCATAAACATTGCAAATATATCTATTCATTAGGAGATCACATTCATTTGATAAATGAGGTACCGTTTGAAGAGTTGCAACATACTTCCGCGGCAGCCAGACATTTTCCCTCCTCCCTGCCTTATTTCTTTCATCACTCTCATCATAATCACATTTTTATATTTAGCTTGCAGATTAGGAGACTGTCTGCAGTTTCAAACATTCAGCAGTCAAACTCCTCTTAAAACAGCCATTCACTTTGCCTTTCAAGCTTGCTTGGCCGTACCAGGGCTGTATGTTTAAAATAAGGAGATATTTGACATCTGAGTCTGGGTTTATCTATCCAAACTTCATATCTTCATGGCTCTATTTGACATGTATTAGAAAAAGAGGAAAAATATATTTCAGCTTGCATGTTAAAAACGGGACCTAGATGATTCTAAAACAATGAATTGGTGTGTAAGAAACCCTCTTGTATTTCTGTGCTGTCCCCTAAAATGTAAAAAAGAAAACGAATAGGTGTTAAGTGGCGTTAAATATATTCATTAAACGTTTCTGTTTGTTCACATGTATCAATTTTTTTGTTCATCTTTCTTGACTGTTAGTACCTAAGTCTTGTCAGTCATTGAGTTTTATCTATCAGCTGAGTGCACATGTGTATGTACACTGTCTGACCACTGGATGGATGTAGAGAGCCGGGTGAGCAAAGGGAGAATATTTCCTTCGAAAAATAAAATGGTGTTTGCCTCCCCCTTGTGATGCAATCAGCAAATACAAGCAGGATAATAGGAACAGGGAATTAGGGCTAAAAAAAAGGTAAGAACATATATTTCATGTATTGAAAGTGGTTTATCATACTTCTTGTTGCATTGTTGTGATACTTTGTTTATAAGCCTTTGATTAAACTTTTCAAACCTTTTCTTCTCTTTTTTAACAGGTAAGAAAAAAAGTGTTTGCCACCCCATATTTCATCAATGTCAGCTTAGCTTTTTGGTGAACTCTTAACACTCATAACATTACTGATGAATAGACAAGAATAAATAATGGCTTCTGGTGAATTATTGTCAAACTCTAACACAATGTGCAGCCTCTGACAGATCATTTACTGTATTATCATAAAATAAGATGTACTTTATTAATCCCAATTTGGATTGCAAAAAAAAAAAATGATATGTCCTTAACCAGAAGTTGATCAACATATTTTTTCCTACCTCCGTAATCTCAGGGTGGCCCAGGGCCTCTAGGTCCTCAGGGCTCCTCAGGGCCTCCAGGGAGAACAGGCGATGCAGGCATTGAAGGCCCAAAGGGGCAGAAAGGTGACCACGGCCGTGGTGGCTCCATGGGTCCGAAAGGAAGTGTGGTAAAATATAATTTTCTTTTTAATCTGATTATTAAAGATCACAACACTCCTGTTTTTCCTCCTGTTTAATGTGTCATTCTTGCCCCTCCGCAGGGAATGGCCGGCGTTCCTGGTTTTGCTGGAAACGATGGAATTCCTGTAAGTCCGTCTGGATGATTGCAAGAGAAGCTCACTGTTTTGAATCTGCTGCCTGCCATGTTTCCTGACCTCTGTTGTGAACTGACGTTTTGCTCCGCAGGGCCACCCGGGACAAGCTGGCCACCGGGGGAAGCCAGGGGCCGACGGCTGTAACGGGACACATGGAGACTCCGGTTCATCTGGGCAACCTGGCTATAATGGCTCACCTGGTTCTCCTGTAAGTGCAACTCCAAACCTACCCAGATAGTAATTAGTAAAATGCGTAATGGTTTGAAGTGCACAAGCTGACTGTTTTTTTGTCTTCCACTCTCAGGGACAAGCAGGCTGGAAGGGACAGAAGGGAGACTCTCTGGAGCTGAGTGTGTTCATGGAGCGCTTCAGGGTGAGTTCACACCACCATCACTTTATTTTAATCTCCTGTCCTCATAAATTATTATATATATATATATATATATTGATATTGTTGTAACTAAACTAATAAGATCTCCACAACCTCATGGATCTCTGACCATCTCTCCACAGGGAGATCCAGGCATGCCAGGTTTCAAAGGAATATATGTAAGGCACATTGTTCAAACTATTCATAATGTGGACACATGAGCAGATATTGCTCAAAACTAACACTTCTGTATTTGCAAACCTTCTCATCTAATTACTTTACTTGGTTGTTGTCAGGGGCCTCCAGGAAACCCAGGTAGAGAGGGTAACAAAGGCTCTCTAGGACCAAAGGTAATTGTGTGTGTGTGTGTGTGTGTGCGTGTGTGTGTGCGTGCGTGCGTGCGTGCGTGCATGTGTGTGATTTTAATTTAAGTTTGTGAAACTCTATCTATTGTGACGCAAAGTACTTATCAGTATTTTGTTTCATCTCCTATAGGGTCCCCAAGGGCCTTCAGGTCCCCGTGGACCAAAGGTAAGGCAACAACAATATATATTTAATATAATGTTATAAAAATATGATGTATAAGTATTGCATATAATGGTATAAAACAGGATGTGAATTTATGAATGCAGTTGAAGTGTTTTTTGTTTTTCCTGACAGGGCACAATGACCCAAGTGCTTAAAGGACACAGAGGAAGCCAAGTGAGTGACCATGTTTTTCAAATGCATTGCTAATATCTGTTAGCCAAGTGTAATTGCATTTCCATAAAGCAAATGCTATGACCCAAAACGACTTGCTGTTTCTGCACGGAAGCTCTTGAATTAATTTAGACCACTTCACTTTGAGCTGTATACAAAAAAGAAGTTTTACTTCAATACATTTTTCTACGGCTAGAGATGTTATCAAATGTTGTGTTTAGGACCCTCTGTCCAAAGCTGTGATAGACCTGCATTATTTATACATATATATTTTTTGTATGAAATTGTTTTTTTGTAATTTTACTTAAAGACTCAGAAAACTAGATTATCTTTATTTCTCTGCGAGTTGTCTGACTTTTTTTGCTTTTCCTAACTCCACCACAGGGGGACATCGGACAACCAGGGCTGCAGGGGAACTCAACTCATCAGCAGATTCAGCCCCCCTACGGACCCACGGTCTGTACATGTGCATCATGTTCAACTTATTACATTAACCTACTGTAATGTTCAAACATGTTGTCTACAATATAAATGATACATTTGAGGGTTATGAAAACTCGCACATGCACCAATAATATCTGCCTTTTTTATTTTATAGGGACTCCGTGGCGAGAAAGGTCTCAAAGGAGAAATAGGAGATGTGGTATGAACTCATGAATGATCATGTTTATGTACATAGAAACATATCAACATCTATTTCTCAGCTTGTCAATCCTCTACTCATCTTTTCTTTTGTTGGGGTTTGTTTCAGGCTGACAATAAAGGAGAAACTGGAGTGATGGGATTCCCTGGAACCCGGGTGAGCTCAGGCACATTTCTTTAGGGTTTTGTTAAAAACTGTCCTCTGTGTGTTTGTGAAATTCATATCATATGTTGTGTATGACTTTCTAGGGTACATCTGGTGCAGATGGGCGTCCTGGACCAAGGGTATGCTTTTGAAAAATAATGTCGAACTGAATGAAATGTCATTGTATAGCTTTATAATTACAATTCTCTTGCAGGGAGATTATGGGGAAGCAGGACCAACAGGCAGAGATGGTTTTAAGGTGAGAATGTACCTGATCGTTGTTACTGCTTAAGCATTGATGCACCCACAGGAACAACACCTGAATGGACTGTTTAACATGTGGCTTTACATAGTCAACTATTCTGGGCATATTGCATAAATGACATGCTATTATGCAACTTTAAAAATCATCAACAACATTTTGCTCATGTTCTTATCTGATTTAAATTAATATCCAATTTCAACATTATCAGAGTCAAAGATATGGCACAGAACTCAACAACCGGATATGTGTAACTGTTATCTTCAGCCATGTGTGCACATCCAGCATGTGATCTCATTTATAAAAAAAAGAGACTGACATAATTTTTCTTTCAGGGAGTCAGAGGTGAACCAGGAGAACTGATTTCATCAGGATCTGTAGGGCCTTGGTCTTCAGGAGGTACGTTGATTTTTACCTAATAAATTGTCAAATAATCAACCAATAGAAAAGATAAATAGTTTGAGGATAAAACTCATTGTTGGACACATGTGAACATGTACTCTGAGGAAATAGTTGCTGACATGAAGTGAAACTGTGGGGGGGAATTATTGACAAATCGAAACAGACTGCACAAACTTGTCAGAGCGAAAAAGTCATTAAGGAGTACACATTTGACACTTGAAAAGAAATCATCCATTTATTACTCAAAGTAAAATAGTTTGAAGTGTCAGTGATGTGTGAGCATAAGATCTTGTTGTTATAATTGTTTATTTTAAATATGCTTTAACTTTGATAAGGTGTTCCTCGCGGTCCCCCTGGCGATCAGGGTCCAGAGGGAGAGAGGGGCCCGGTTGGAGACCAAGGCATTCCCGGACCCCCAGGACCCCCCCCCTCTGAATCACAGCAACAAGGTCTGTGAACTGAAGCCATCTGAAGATATTTATCACACTACACCCACATACAGGAACCAGTTTATGAAACTTGCAAGTCAACTTTTTATTCATCCAAAAATGTCAAATATGTCAATCTGTACAATACAATATATGACATCCTATATATTTAGAAACTTGCCTTAGCTAAGATAAAAGTACATAGAGAAACATTGATTTGGCATAATGGGATATAAACTCAAGAAGAGGAATGGATGAGGGATCGCTCTTCTGTGAAACAATAAATAATCGTAATTATTGTAGCTGCTTCAGCAAGGGACAAAAGGAAAATGTACTATCCCAACAGTGTTCTCCAAAATAAAGTTAACATTTAAAAAATTGCTTAAGAACTGAGTTCAAGCCAAAGGCCAAAAATAACACATTTCCGTTCTCTCTGTCAGTTTCGGACTTCTTTGGGCCATTTGGTATAAAGGGGGAGTCAGGAGAGAAGGGCCCAGCAGGAGATCCAGGACTCCCTGCTGACTTGGCAGGACCCCCAGGCACCAACGGGCGCCCAGGGTCCAGAGGCCCTCTGGGACCCAAAGGATCATGTGAGTTAGATGTGATGTGAGCTACGAGCATGCACAAAGGCGTTTATGCCCAACAGGTTGTTTGTTCCAGTATTTTCTGAAATGCCAAAGGTGTAGAAATGGAATATTCGGTGAAAAAGGGAAAAAGTCATACATGGTTACAGGCAAAATCTGCATGCTGAGGAGGAATCAACTGTATACAATCCTTCTAAAGAAAGAGTCACATTTTGTAAAATATTTAATGATATTATGAAAAAAGGTTTTAGTTTTTTTCATAAACCATTTCATTTTGCTGGCAGAACATTAGATTTTTGAGACCTAGTATCTTTCAGTATTTAGTATTTCCAAGTCTTTTGGAAATACTGATACAGTTTTTTAACAATGAAAATGTTATGTTTTATTCTTAATACAAGTTATTTTCTTCAAAATATACAAACATGTTGTCTCCTTTGAGCTGTACCTTTACCTGTATTTCTACATGTTTCTATTTCCATTCGTCCTTAGGGATTGAGTTCTTCAAGGGTTCTTCTGGTGGGAGCGGAAGGCCCGGCAATGCGGGCTCTAAAGGATTGAAAGGTGCTGTAGTTATACTGTTCATGCTTAAGTGGATGTTGATATAATGATGGATTATTGGATAATAGCAAAGAAAGTTGTAGTTTTCTGAATTACTTACTCTTCTATTTAATTTACCCCGAGTAAAAGAGTCAGTTAAATTCAGAACACACTCTTTGTGTTGCTGACGTGTGGGTGCAATGGTGTGTCCGTGTAGGTGATCACGGGCTGTGTGAATGCAGCATCGTGAACTCTCCATCGGGGCGACCTGGGCCTGCCGGGGAGCGCGGTGACGCTGGGATGACTGGAGAGTTTGGTCGAGAAGGGGATGTGGGAGATCCAGGTCCACATGGAGACTTCGGATCCCCTGTAAGAATCATCAAGTCATTTCTATTCTTTCTTTTCCATTGTTCAAGCCTTTTCTGTCTCCTCACAATTGTCTGTGTCGCCTTGCAGGGATTTCCTGGGCTCAACGGTGAGCCGGGACCACAAGGTCGAAAAGGAGAAGCAAGGGTGGTCTCCGGGAAAGGTGCAGTGTACCTGGTATTATATCTCATTTCAGAACATCTAGGCCAAGAAATCACACACTGACTCCCCAACTGCTGATTTGTTTCACTATGAAACTTTATCTAAGCAGGTAAATCCTAATGAGATCTCTTTTCCAAGGGAAGCTTGGAAAATACGGTAGTAACAGAATGTTCCAAAGATACACGCTAACATTTATAACAGAAAGCAGTATCAGAGAATATCAAGACTTGTTGGCCCATTACATTGCGAGCCCATGAGCAGTGCTGTGTACTGATTGTATGTGTATGTGTGTCATTACAGCATATCCTGGAGACGCAGGGGATCCCGGGCAAGACGGTGTGCAGGGAACATTTGGTGTTTCAGGCCGAAATGGCTCACCTGGTATCCCTGGGACCCGAGGTCTTCCAGTGAGTGCAACTGTCAGAACAACTGTTTCATATTTTACATATTGTTAGGGGTGAGCGAAGCAAGCAGGACCCAAATGCAGATAACACTGAAAATACCTTTATTTCAAGGATATTGGTAATACGGACAAACAGAACACTCCCCGGTGAACACAGTCATAGACAAACGACGAACCAACAATGACAGACAGAAAAAACAGAACTTAAATACACACAGGACTGATCAAGGAAACAAGAGACAGATGAGGAGGGAGGAGAAAACACAGGGGCACCAGGTGAACACAATCAATAAAACAGGAGGGAACAGGTAGGAGGGAACACACACAAGAGGTTTCTCAATACTCAAATTTCCCTTCCTCGACTCCCCGGTCCTCCGGTAGTGACCCGGAAATTAATTTCAGCGTGCCATTTTGAAAGACATCTAATTTCTCTAAATGCACTTCGAGGACTGAGCATCGAGGATCGAGGAGGCTCTCTGGAGGAGCTCTAACCGAGGAGACACTGATGCATCCTCCACGGCTCCTCCACGGATGCATTTCCGGGAACGGTGGAGGCGTGACGCACGGCCGGACGTTCTCTGCATGCATCCCTTGGATATTATTTTAGTAACTGCTTTCATCGCAACGCGATATTTACAGTGAGAACAGCTGTGAGGTCCGTGCAGAAAGCAGAGCAGTGTGTAAAATATATATCACTCAGTATAACAGGCCTACATTACTCTCTGTATTTGTATGCTGTAGTTTAGTAGATATCTACAAACAAAGAGTTGATATTTTTCTAAGACCATTTAGTGCTTCACATAATAAAATACACAACGGCTGTAGCCTGATTATGCTAGGAGCAGTAGGTGCGTGTGTGTGGTTTAGGTGTGTGTGTGGTACAGTTTGTAGATGTGTGTGGTACAGTGTGTGCGT